TAGCTGCTAGTGTTGTTTACACCAAAATGTAGTAAAATGCATTTACACTCTTAAAAATAAAGGTTCTTTATTGGCATCAATGGTTCCACAAAGAACCTTTACCACCCATGGAAACTTTTCATTCAACATAAGGTTCTTTACAGTGGTAAAAGGTTCTTTAAATTATTCAAATGTTCTTCACACTAAGAAAAAAAAATATTATTTTAAGAACTGTTCACTGATAGGTTCTTTGGGGAACCAAAACTGGTTCTTCTATGGCATCGCTGTGAAACCCGGAACCTTTATTTTTAAGAGTGTATTACCTAGTATTAGTGTAAATACCTTAAACGTAGTGTAAATACCTTAAATACCTGATTTAAAATTGGTTTGTTGGTTGGTTCTGTGATGTTAAATAACGTTTTTTGAGAGATTTTAGTTGTTAGCACTTTTAGGTGAACTTTTTTTTTTTGTATAATGGCCCAAGTCAAAAGAAACCATCCCTGGGTTTTTATGGTCCCTTCAGTGTCTTTGGGTTCTTTATCAGTATGTGACATTCTGATTTCTCCTTAAATATTTGTGATTTTTGTTTTGTTTTGCCAGCAAGCCTAAATCTTCAGAATGAGCAACAGTGATGCTTGCCTTACCAAACACCAATAAATAATAATAATCATTTATAGTGATTCATTTTGTTTAAAAGTTATTAAGAAAAATATTCAGCTTTATTGCACTCAAGAAACATAGGAGGTAAACATTGCAGACAAAGTTCAGGCAGGGGTGAACTCATATATGGCACTCATGAGAGGCCTGATGTGAAAAATCGAAAAAGTGAAAGAATATTTATGGGTGCTGGGCCAGACGACAAAGTAACTGGAGAGGCGCATGCTCATAAAAAAGCACTCTCTCCCTCTCTCTTTTTACCTCCCTCTTTGGTTGTTGCCTCACTGCTATAGGCTTTGATTATATGTCTTTGATGTTCCATGCTGCACTGCACTTACCTGCTGCATGTCAGGGTTACGCTGGCCATTAGAGTTAACAGTCATGTCAACTGTGTCATCCCTGAGCTGCCAACACAAGCAAACTTTTCTGCAGATGCACACAACCAAACAACATTTCGATGTTTAAACATTATGTTTACAGGCTTTTGTAGTATGTGCCAGTTACAATATATACCAAAAGCTTTGTCATTGGGTAATACAAACATTATCAAATGTAAATTATTTAAATATCTTGTTCTGTATCAGCCAGTTCCAAAAAGAGAAGGCTACACCATAAGCGATTCATCCTAGGCATGCAGTATGTTTGTATGTTTCCATTTAACATCAATCTTTTTTTTAGGAGGGCTACAATCTTTAGCTGTGTGCATGACACAATGCATAATTGAATATTTGAAGGATTAAATGCATGTCGCACATCACCTCTGTATTTCGGAGGATGCGCACAATGCCAAAGCCAAGTGTAAATTGATTAATATGTACACGTGCTACAATCTCATCATCTAGTTCGTCTAGTCTGACTTCGCAAATTGTTTACAGGACATTTTAAAAGACAAACTATTACTGAAATCAAACTTTCAAAGCGCATGTAACACGAGCAGGGATATAAAGAAGTAACAAAAAGCATAAAAAGGCACCAAAAATGTTGACAGAGAGATCCTGACCTGAGGATTTAGGGTGAACGGACACCAGAGAATGACTCCCTCAGGGATACACAATGCTCACAGCAGCAGATGTAGATCCAGATGTCAAAGGTCAGGCCTAAGAGACTGTGTGAGGTTGCTGGGATGTTAATTTGTGAGGTCAGTTCGTTAGCATCATAAACTTTAAATGTAGGACCATACGATCAATAAGCTCTGGATTAATATTAAACATCATGAGCCTACACAGTGCATAAATGAGTGAGTGAGAGAGTTTTGTTGCATCTAAAATAGTCACTTTTTCGGCTCCTGATGCCTTGACTAATGACTGAATGTCTCTCACATGGCATGCACACTCACAGACACACTGTGACAAATGTCCCTAAACAAACATTCACAATTTGAGAGGAAGTGACAAACAGCCACATTAAACAAAAAATCACACTAACCTGCCTCGCACCACAATACTAATGAGCTTATTCTCTAAAAACAACCTGCCCTCAATTTTACTCCCACAAAAACACACAATTAATGTGAAACACAGCATGGCAACAGTCAACTGACTATATTGCATACCTACTGTATGTATAAAATGTTTGCATCTAGCCCTAGAATGTTATAACAAGTGATTTCACACAACATTTGAGAGTATCCCTGACAAAATATTTATTATTATTTATCTGAATTATTTAAAAAGTCATCGTATAGCAGGCGTTGCAATAGTTATAAGGCATTTTGTCTGCGTATGAAATGACAACGCATTACAAGTGGAAATACCCGATTAAAGGCCGCATTCAAAGGGCGTTGCTCCATTGAGCGTCTTTACAATCTCTGTTGTTCCGCTGTTAATGCCTTTATTTAGCTATGATCATCTCTGTTGGCCAGTGCCCTCCCATGGTGTTGAAAGGCCGAAGATCGCCTGATCCTCTGCCTCGCTTATGTCACGCCGCCCACCGAGCGCGTCGGTCCGGCCGCAGGGCGCTGGAGAGGGCCGCGGTGATTGAAGTCCTGGCCGCCTGTTGAGGGCTCGCTCTGCGGGAGAAGAGTTCAGGGGACGTGTGGAATAATTATTATGTTATTATTATGTTATTTAGTGGTGATTTACAACACAAGACCACGTTTTCCTTTTACAGGTTGCTCTAACTGATTGTTATGCCACTTGGTATATATTTAAAGGCCATCGTTTTCATTCACGTAACACACACCCTATATTTAAAATGTTTTATAGGCTATTTAATGGCTTTTCAACTTTAAGCAGCAAAACAATTATGAAACAAAAATAAGTGCTTTCGGCATATTGTAATGAATGCATTGTATAAAGTTGTATACAACTATATAGAACACGTGTGACAACTTGCCCCAGTCCAATCTAAAAAAATACCCTGTCTTGAAAAACAGTCTTTCAGTTACAACCTACCATCATTATGTAATTGATCATTGGTCTTATTATGGATTTATTAAGTGTGGAAACTAAAAGGATAGTTCATTTTCTGCATACAACAGACCCTATTACTGGTTCAAAGATAAGAGTCATAAATAACAGAAACATATTGCTGTAATTTGCCCTGCAATTAAAACAATTACATGGTAATGGTTGTTATTTATTATGGTAAGTTTAATTGGCAATTAGCATTATCAGCTGATTGCAACATCATTGCATTTTTTTCTTATTTCTTTTCTACTTTCTGCTGCATAAAGTGGTCCCCCGGAATTATTTTGACACTTAAGAAACACAAATGAATGCTAATGCTTTAGTTGTCACGCTGCATTTATTTCAAAGGAAGTTTACCTTTCAAGCAAATATTTAATTATAAGAAATTTAGAAGGTGTTACATTTTTACAGTTGTATAGAGGACACCTGGAAATGTAACACTTTTTGCTGTAGTCTGGAAATGTAACTTTGTATTATTTATTTATTGTTTTTTGCACCGTGTACAGTATATCTCTAACCTTTTAATATTTTCTCACATTTAAGGTGAAGTTATCTTCAATTATTCCTACATTTTTTTCATTACTTTTAAGTGCAGTTGTTACATCCTATCACAGCCGGGTGAGTTGTAATAGTTGGGTGGGATTGGTTGTAACACTAATGAAAACATGGACATCAGGTAACACATTTATTTTGTTTAATGATTTTCTTCGTAATCCCTTCCCCCAATTCACCTTGTTTCATTTGAAGTGTTTTATTACAAAAAAGTGAGTTGTGTGTGAAATATATTTTAAAACAGCAAACAAATTGAACAATTTGATCAATTTAAACAAGAAAATCTGCTGATTCTGATGCTTGTAACTTCTTGTTGCGAGTTAGGGTTAAATGCAAATGAAATTACAGCTCAGAAGTTTTTCAACCTATTTATTTAGGCCTATGTGATCCTTCATTCATTCATGTAAATCTTTTATATTCTTACACAGACACTTACAACTTTTACTGTCCCCTCAGGAGGGTGGTGATCATGATACTAATTTCACACTCTATTTTAAATGTAGGATTTTGACTCATTCTGGTTATTAAATGTTATGTTAACCTGGAAAACTTAATGGTAACTGTCTTCATCCACTCTAAATTCACCTTGACACCAGTTGTTTAATATGCAAAGATGGCTGAGAAGTTAGCTCTGAGAAAAGGTCTATCGCGTGTTTGCAGATGCCACTTGTTTTGGTATATTTTTGATATAATGCGTTTTAAAATGCGGCATAAGTCTACAAGTACTTTTTGGTGGTATTGTGTAGAATATGATGTGACGCGTATGCTGTGGAGAATAACGCATGTGTGTAAATTGACCAGTGCATGCTTCAAAACAGATCTGCTGCACATGATAGCCAACCTATAATCAGACAAGATGATTTTTGAACCACGTAATGTAAGCACGGTTTGTGTGTAAGAGAGAGAGAGAGAGAGAGCGAGAGAGAGAGGAAGAGAGCGTCCTTCAGATAAAACGAAAGCCTTATGCGTTTGTAATGCGCGAGTGTGTGTGTGTGTGTGTGTGTGTGTAATGCGCGAGTGTGTGTGTGTGTGTGTAATGTGTGAGTGTGTGTGTAATGTGCGAGTGTGTGTGTGTGTAATGTGTGTGTAATGCGCGAGTGTGTGTGTACGTGTGTGTGTGTGTAATGCGCGAGTGTGTGTGTGTAAAGTGTGTGTGAGTGTGTGTGGCGAGTGTGTGTGTGTGTGTAATGTGTGAGTGTGTGTGTAATGCGCGAGTGTGTGTGTGTGATGTGTGAGTGTGTGTGTGTGTGTGTAATGTGTGTGTGTGTGTGTATGTGTGTGTGTATAATGCGCGCGCGTGTGTGTGTGTGTGTGTGTGTGTAATGCGCGAGTGTGTGTGTGTGTGATGTCTGAGTGTGTGTGTGTGTGTAATGCGCGAGTGTGAGTGTGTGTGTGTGTGTAAAATGCGCGAGTGTGTGTGATAAGGAGGTGGGGGTGAGAGACCCCGTTGTGTTTTGACCCCCTAAACAACTCCCAGTCTCCATCTCTCTCTCTCTCTTTCTGGTTTAAAGCTTCATCGCTCATTGTGGAGAGACGCATTTGAGCCCAACGCGTCGCGGATAGAACGGAAAGAACGCGACATCATCTCAAACGCGCCGCTAATGCTGGATACTCGGCCCGGCCCACGCTTCTGCTGCTACATTCTTATTAAGGTGGGGTATCTTTACGCCTTCTCATCATATCCATAATATAACCCAATTTCCATAACCACAACATTTACGCGGATACATAATTTGTTATTCATTTAGTATGTGTATAATATAATATTATTATAGGCATTTCTCATTCACTGTAGAACACTTATTAAGCTGCTATTTTGGTGGATACTTTTAAAGTGAAAAGCAATCTTATCCACTACTCTCATATGTGCTCGCATTTATTTTATGATGCCCCAAATGCTTTTGGACCAGAATTTGAATATGGTATCAGTAAACGTTTGTGTTACAATGCATGCTTAGTTTTCTTCAATGTTTTTTATGCTTTAGTTCTCGTAGAGAGTGTGTCTTATCTGGCGCTCTGGTGTGTGTTGTCATCCGTCAGTGAGTGTGTGAGCTCGGCTTCCGTATCGCATGGAGAAGAGGGTAGGTCCTGTTTTTCCCTTTAATTTCCAGGTCCATTTTTTTTTGCTACTTTGATGAAAAGGATGCTATCATGTGGATACCAAAAAACAAATTGAGTAACACGCAAGCATAACTAAAGATGATAACTATTGAGATGTGCAAGCAGTGTGTAGCCTAGTCTAGAGTCCAAAAATTAATTCTTATTTTGTAATTGTTAGATTTTTTGGCTGACACTTTATAATAACTTCCAATCCAGCGTCCAAGTCAGTAATAAACATTATTCCATTATGCGATGCTTAATTGATGCTCATTAGGTAATGTGCATTTTTTTTTGCTACTTTGATGAAAAGGATGCTATCATGTGGATACCAAAAAACAAATTGAGTAACACGCAAGCATAACTAAAGATGATAACTATTGAGATGTGCAAGCAGTGTGTAGCCTAGTCTAGAGTCCAAAAATGAATTCTTATTTTGTAATTGTTAGATTTTTTGGCTGACACTTTATAATAACTTCCAATCCAGCGTCCAAGTCAGTAATAAACATTATTCCATTATGCGATGCTTAATTGATGCTCATTAGGTAATGTGCATTTAAATAGTATAAAGTAGGCTATCATTAAACTTTCATTTATTTATTTTCATGTAGGCTTACATTTACTTGAAAGACAGCTAAGTTCACAAAGGTGCTTATACACTCAGCTACTCAGTTTTATCTTTATTATGATCAATTATATGTATTCAGAAAAGCAATAAAAGGCAAACATCAGATGGAGTAGTGTAGGAAAATAGCATGCCCTAGTAAGGCAGATGAAGTCGGTAAGTAGGTCAACTTTTGTGCTACAGTGAGCGGCCAAATGGAAAATCTTGTTGCTTTCTGTCTACTTACAAATTATAATTATGATCCTGTTAATTTGGCATCGGTCGGTTCAATCTCAAATATAAGCTCTTTTATCTGTCCCCACGATATTTGTCCTCATGTGTCCTCAAATGATCCAGGAAATTCAATGACATTTTATATTGATTGGTATTTTTTTATTGCCTGTAAAAGCCTGTTAGATTTGAAGTAAAAAAATTGCCATCACTAAAAATTGATATTGGTAAGTCAGACAAATATTTAATTTTCTATGATCTTCTACATTACGTTTGCACCTTTAAGCTTGTGAAGTACACCTGATTGGTATTTTTTTATTGCCTGTAAAAGCCTGTTAGATTTGAAGTAAAAAAAAATTGCCATCACTAAAAATTGATATTGGTAAGTCAGACAAATATTTAATTTTCTATGATCTTCTACATTACGTTTGCACCTTTAAGCTTGTGAAGTACACATTACTGATTTCTGTTTTCTTTAGAAAAAGCAACGCTGCAGCATACAAAATGACATACATTCTGTTCATGTTTAATTCTATTTAGTTTGCTTGAAACTCTACTGCTTTTAATTGGTTGTCGTTTGTCTATAATAACTTTGATCATTTACACTACTAATCATTATGTGATTACCAATCAAATATGTTCATCAAAGTTTGATTATGTTTCTGGCAATAGAAAGAAAAATAATCAAACATTGGTTCACAAATGTTATTTTTCTGTTAAGCATTATATGATGTCTGTTAATTACTTAAATGAAGTTATTATAAAGTGCTACGATACTAACATAATTGATCACATTCAAGACTTTGGATGTGCTGCACGTTTATGTGTTTTACATATTTTTAAATTCTTACATTGTCCATCTTTATAGTAGGCATACTTAAGTTTAGCTCCGAATGTCTTTTTGTGTAATTAATTTTATTATGAATTGCAGTGTCCTAAATATTTAGTTACATTTTTTTTTCATAGCAAAATATTCATTTGAAATATTTTCAAGACCATGAACATGAGAATATTGCAACTTCAGAGCCAAATGAAATGTTTCATGCCATGGTGAAAACACATATGGAGAAATAAGTATATCACACATGTAAATATGGAGTTTATATGCTACAGAAAATCCTGATTATTTACAGAGGCTTAAATATGTTTTTTTCTTTTTTAGTTAGAATGTACTTCGCAGAGGTGGCTTTCATTAAGTAATGCTATTAGTAATGATTAATGCAACTTCCATCTCAATAATAGGTGATTGGAAATTGTTAAAATTAAATTTATAGTTGTGCAGTGAGAAGTAACCGTTTTTTTCTTATTATTGATTATTCTGAAAACATTGTGTAAGTCTTTTTCTGATTTATCTGACTACAGCATTAATCAGAAAGCTGACTGTAAAACCACCTAATTAGTATAAATGAAGGCTGGATGACTTTATGTATTTGTATGTAAGGCTGTTAATTATAAATCAGCTGGAAAGTTTTTTTCTTTGGAGTTTATGTCCCTGGGTGAATGTTGCTTGGCGCTCTGAAAAATCGCACATCAAAGCCTCCCCGCATCCAGTGTTTATTAAGGAGGAGATACAATTAGCAGCGACTTCAAACAGCCTAGCGCTAACTCACATACTCAAATGTACTGTCAATCCTGTAGCCTACATACTTGTACATCATAATAAATCCCCCCCACACACATTGCACATCTCAGGCAATGTCTAATCTTTTAAATTTGTCTTATCATGTCTCTCCATATCTAGTATGAGGAGTTGGTGCACTACCCAGGCTCTGACGCCATGCCTGTGGGAGACTACATGAGGTCACTTCCTCCGCCACACTACGGCCACACTGTGCCTGACTCCCTGAAACACCACCGGGACCAGATCTACGGGTGAGAGTCTGGTTACTTTAACCATCTGTTACCTCCCACGAAACATAAATGAGCACTGCATTTGTTAATATATATTGCCTTCAGGTCTTGGTTAGTTCTGACTAGGAGAATTATGGCATCATATGCGGTTTTTGTTAGAATAAAATACAGTAATATACTTTTTTTTTTTAATTCTTTGACTTTCGCACATGAAGATATTTTTTTTAGCTTGAAACAAAACTGTTCTTTCACAATTAAAAACTTAAAGGGGTCATATGATGCAATTTCAAGTTTTCCTTTCTCTTTGGAGTGTTACAAGCTGATTGTGCATAGATAAGATCCCTGAAGTTGCAAAGACTAAAGTCTCAAAACCAAAGAGATCCCTGACAGTTTATAAGCCTTTTGTACAAAGATAATAATAGACTGGGATTTTCAACTTCTTGTCTCAGACTAGTTTAACATATGAGACAACAGGCTTATGTCTTGTAGTGGTGTTTTCTGGGCTTCAAGCATCAAATTCAGTATATGTTGATTTTTTCTATTAATTATTTTAGATTCGATCAGAGAAACCTATCTTTTCATCAAACCCAGAACTGGACAATCTGGTAAGATATACAGGAGCTTTTAAATAAGTGGTTCCATGTCATTTTGTAAAGAGCATGACCGTTTTAACCATATGATCTCTTTGCACAGATGATCCAGGCCATTCAAGTTCTAAGGTTTCATCTATTAGAGCTAGAAAAGGTATGTTTTTCTCTCTAACAACATGTTTGTAAAGCTTACCCTTATATTATCATGGAACATGTCCTAAAAAAACATGGTACCATGTGTGATTTAGTGTGTGATTTTCTTCAATGAAACTCCCGTTGTAATTTACTTACCTCATTTATTCATTTTATTTACTTTTATTCCATTTTCTTTTGCAATCGTCCTAAAGACGGCCATTATGCTTGCTTCCCCATATTCAAATGTGGCATGTCAAACTATACTATACGCTTGCTATCAGTGACACCAAATAGCACGCTCACATGTGTTAAAACCAGGCGTACCAGGCTCCTTTTTAGAGATAGGCTGCTCTTCTCACAATACTCTTAGCTTTTATTGTATTGAAAAGAGCAGCATGAACATGCTATGAATTTTTAGCTTTATACAGTATATGTTAATGAACTTGTCTCTCATAGGTTCATGACCTCTGTGATAATTTCTGCCATCGGTACATCACCTGCCTTAAAGGCAAGTTGCCCAGTGATTTGGTGCTGGAGGACCGGGAGGGTGGATCCAAATCTGACATGGAAGATTTCACTGGCTCTTGCACCAATCTGTCAGAACAAGTAAGTCAGTAGACATCTGACACATATCAGGGAGCTAGTTGCTGCCTGTTACTGGGTGTGTGTGTGTGTGTGTGTGTCTGACTGTGCCTGTCTCTCCTGATCTAGAATCAGTCTTGGTTGCGAGATCCGGATGACTGTGTGTCGACCCCCTCGGGCACCCCCAGTGCCTCCTGTGGCCTCAACTCACACAGCGCAGAGAACTGCAGCGATGCCGGTACTTATCATTTTACACACACCAGCTGTAGTGAAGTCTAGCATTTTTGCCGCATACTGTTTTATAAAACTCTTACGGGAATTGTGTATATTATATGCAGTGATAAATGTTTCAATTTTGCATGTTTAATTCAACAATTGGCATCTTGTTATCATCTTGGAAATAAAAAACAGTGTTAGGAAGGTTACTTTGGAAATATAATAGGTTACAGATTAGAAGTGACCTTATTCAAAATGTAATAAGTTGTGAAACTATTTCAATTACTTTATTAAAGTAATGTAACTGATTACTTTTTGATTGCATTTAAAAAAATGTCTAAATGTTAATCATTTTAAAACATTTAAAGCAGGCAGGGTTAACCTTACAGTACACTCTTAAAAATAAAGGTGCTTCACGATGCCATAGAAGAACCTTTTTGTCTAAATGGTTCCATAAAGAACCTTTAACATCTGAAGAACCGTTCTGTTTCACAAAAGGTTCTTTGTGGCGAAAGAAGGTTCTTCAGATTATAAAAAGGTAAGAAAGAGATGGTTCTTTAAAGAACCTTTGACTGAACGGTTCTTTGTGGAACCAAAAATGGTTCTTCTATGGCATCGCTGTGAAGAACCTTTTGAAGCACCTTCATTTTTAAGAGTGTAGGACTCAACATTGATCACTGTCAGACTTTCAAAATCCTTCATCAGTTGAATGAACCTTTGGGAGAGAAATCAATCATATTTGTATGTGTGAGAAAATATTCAGATGTAACCCCCTTTGTAATCTAACATTTTCAAACTTTTTTTTTTCAGTAACTGTAACAGATTACAGTTACATTTATTTTGTAGCTAGTAACTAGTTACTCCCCAACACTGAAACTAAAAACATATATTATTTTACATTTTCAATCCTATCCAACAAGATATTTCATTATGCTTGTGTGTTGTTCTGTGTCAGGTGATGGGTTGGATGGAAGTATGGCATCTCTCAGCACGGGAGAAGAAGATGAAACAGATAGAGACAGACGAAACAAGAAAAGAGGAATCTTTCCCAAAGTTGCGACAAACATTATGAGAGCTTGGCTCTTCCAGCACCTGTCGGTAAGAGAGAAAACATGCAGTTAAAAACCTACTTAAAAACAACATTTTTCATTTGTGTTCCATGGAAAAATAACAGCATAAATGTGGAAGCTGTGGTATTTTGTTACTATGGTCAATTTTGATAAGGGTTGAGACTGAGAGAAACAGTAGCATTAGGAGTTAAAACTGGTGGCAGAAAAAACACATAACAGCAAACTGAGCTTGAAGAAAGTTAACAAAAACAAGAGAAAAGCTTAGAAAAAGAAGATGTGCTAAAAGGTTTGGAAAAGGTATAATGAAAATGTCATCTTTATTGACCATCTCAAGTTAATATCCAAGAATTTATGAACTCTTTGATGATTAATATTGCATAGATGAGCACGGCTGAATTGAGCAATGCTTTAGCAGAAGTAGCAATGAGCATATGGTAATTGCCAACTAATGACGCTTCTGTAATTACAAATGATAGAAGATCCAGAAGTTACTAATAAAAACAAGAATAAAAACAATGTGAGTAATAATGCGGTAACAAACTGACTTGAGTGAATAAAGATATTATTAAAGAGCATTCTCAGATTACCTCAAAGATGCACAACAATAACTAGTGTTAAGGAACTTGTTCCTTTAAAGGGGTCATATGACCTGTCGGTAAGAGAGAAAACATGCAGTTAAAAACCTACTTAAAAACAAAATTTTTCGTTTGTGTTCCATGGAAAAATAACAGCATAAATGTGGAAGCTGTGGTATTTTGTTACGATGGTCAATTTTGATAAGGGTTGAGACTGAGAGAAACAGTAGCATTAGGAGTAAAAACTGGTGGCAGAAAAAACACATAACAGCAAACTGAGCTTGAAGAAAGTTAACAAAAACAAGAGAAAAGCTTAGAAAAAGAAGATGTGCTAAAAGGTTTGGAAAAGGTATAATGAAAATGTCATCTTTATTGACCATCTCAAGTTAATATCCAAGAATTTATGAACTCTTTGATGATTAATATTGCATAGATGAGCACGGCTGAATTGAGCAATGCTTTAGCAGAAGTAGCAATGAGCATATGGTAATTGCACACACGGCGGGCTTGAGAACGGCGCGGCTGGCGGGCTTGCAGCAACCACATGACGACCCCGGGCTGGACTCTGCTTCGTCCACGGTGAAAGCCGCACCAAGAGCTTGTAACACTCCAAAGAGAAAGGAAAAATTGAAATCGCATCATATGACCCCCTTAAAAATATATTTGATATAGTTTTTTATTCAAAAGAAAAAAGATAAAACATACTTATTTGAAAAAATTATTTGCTTGGAAAAAAAAAAACATTCAGTATGATTATGTAAATAGGTATCCCCCAGCAGTTCCTATAACAATATTTTTGTGCTCTCACAATATAGTCACACCACTAACCTAGACTTATTTGATTACCTTTTTGTCCTCTCTCAGCATCCGTACCCGTCTGAAGAACAGAAGAAACAGCTCTCCCAAGACACGGGTCTCACTATACTGCAGGTCAATAACTGGTTAGTAATCACTCTCTTTTACCAATAATCCACCTCTCTCATTGCATGCCATCATATTCACCTACTTAAAACAATGAGCAATCTAATTCAAATTTAAAATGTGTGTATGTGTTTTGTATTTACATTTTTGTTCTGTATTTTTAATGGATTCAAAATACAGATTCAAATATACTCATTTGGTCTGCAGCTACTGTTGAATTCATCAAAATAATTTGTGTTTGCTCTTGCCGTCTCCTCTCAGGTTTATAAATGCCAGACGCAGAATAGTTCAGCCAATGATTGACCAATCAAATCGCTCAGGTGAAATAAAGTTATTCTGGATTTGTTGGCTGATTGTACAATCATTCTAATTGTATGGTAAATGAATATTCGTGGCTCTGTGCACTAAATAACACATATCTGTGTGTGTGTGTTTTTTCCTCAGGCCAGAGTGCTCCATACAGTCCAGAGGGGGCGGCTCTAGGAGGATATGGGTTAGATGTACAGTCTCATTTAGGTCTTAGGACAGCAGGTGAGAACAGCTTTCATAAGCTACACCACCAAAGCAATGCTCCGGAGTGGGCTGATATTCCTGTTGTCTGTCAATATTGGCTTTCATTCACTCTCTCTCTCTCGCTCTCTCTCTTTCTCCATTGTCAGGATTTCAGGGAATGCCGTCCCTGCCCACAGATTACCCCGGGGCCCTTCTGCCCCAACCGGGATACTCCCACGCTGGCCCATCCTTGCACCCGTACCCCGGCCCCCACACTGCCATGCTGCTCCATCCGCCACCCCACAGCCACCCCGCTGAACAACTCATAGGACAAGGCCTTGACATCCATGCCCACTAACTGAGAGCGGAGCAGGGAGGGCGCGCTGAAAATGGGATGGAAGGGTACACTGTAAATTGACTTTGCAGTACCACAGCCCATCACTCTCACCAAACCTTCAGGGCATCACCGCGGTCGACACATAATGACTCTGAGAATGTCTTAAATGCACTGACCTGGCATCATAAATGTATCAAAATTATGCACTCAGCTCCCATGCAATGCCCATCTCAAATGCCTGACAGACTTGTTACATTCCTTAACCATTTCTTGCTATCTGATCTCCTCATGACAATGCTCTGAATGCACTGTATTTAATACATCTATCTACTAGTTTTTATGCACACTGCTGCGTTTGATTAATATACCCATGTCTTCCTATGGCCTTAGGGGTGAGCTGAAGTCTCCCTTAATCTAACATTAAGGCCTTCATTGCCTTTCTTGCCTTGCCTCCGAAAACCCTCTTGAGGAGCACAAACGGAAAAACACAGCATATACCTCCTCCGTCAGGACCCAACAGGTCAGAAATTCCTGAAATAGTCTTCTGAGATGAACAATTGCACCAAATCCTTACAACCTAACTGCTGAACATGGTTAATGCAATGGAAGGGTGAAGCTCATGAAACCATGTCACGCTTCACCCCAAAATCAAAAGACATTTTGCACAAGAAACCTATTATTAGAAGAGAATTAGGAATCATTTTGCATTGCGATCTCGTTTCTATAAATTGCATTTTCCACAAAAATCTCATTGCTGTAATGCATCTGGATGTGTGCTTTTTGTTAAATTCCTATTATTCTTAATAGTAATTCTCATGTTTCCCATATTACAGTAATACAGTAAAAAACTGGTTTTCTTGGAAGAAAAATATCAGTCTTATTTTGATTTTGGGGTGAAACAGATAGCACAGACGTATTCCTGGGAGATTTTTTGAGATTCACCTGTAAAATGTCAAAGAGCCAAGTGTCTCTGTCTTCCTAGCTGAGGGCCACATACATTTCAAGTCAGTCTCACTTTTAGTTTAACACATTATTTAATAGAATTTTTATGTAATTTTTTTTTGTATTTATCTAACTATGGCTACTCCAAAACTTTAAAGTTACAATAATCCGAGTGCCACGTTTTTGAAATATCTCGATTTGATAAAGAAGTGAATATGTTCTTCAGTTCTTTGAAGTTTATGTGAATGTTTACCTGCTGAGGTCCCGACAGGCACATTTTTGGTTTGCTCTAAAGGACCCGACTCACATTACCATCAGTATTTCACCCAATTCCATCACACGAATGAATACCAAAATATCTGACGATACTTTCTGGAGATTTGTTTGATTTCAATCTTGGAAACCTGAGCTCTTTTTTTGTCATTCCCCTGTCTGCATTAAAACATGTTATGTGACTGTTGATATATTGATATTTCTGTTGATATACAACATATTAAGTTCAAGCATTGACACAATGTTTCTTTTGGCCATTTAAACATTTTAGGAATTTAAAGTCAGTTTAACTAATGACCAATGCATATTTAATTAGACACATTTCTCAATCCATAAATATTTATAAAGCACAACAAACCCACCCGACAAATGGAAAAGTGAGATTTTCCTGGTGAAAAAAATTTAATCTAGTCATTAATAATTGTTTGACCTAAAATTAAATGAAACAATTAGAGACTAAAAAGAGAGGACATTTGAATTTGAGAGAAGCAACATTTCAAGTAATTTAACAAAATCACCAGTTTATTTGTTGTTGTTTTTTGGCATTTTGGGGGCAATTTTTATCGATTGTATCCACTTTTGCCTCCCCCCCACCCCCCCGAGATCTGTTTTATTAGTAGTAACAGTGGTAGTAGTAATGTAATATAAATTATAAATATATCTACCAAAGAGTTACAAATAAAACAAAATTACGGCTTATTTCTGCATTTCCAGTAAAATTATTTTAGTTTCGCTTTCACAATGAAACACTGCGTCACACACGGCGGCCTACAGTGAGCAGAGGCCGGGGGATAAAGTGAGGAACGGCCGGCGGGCTGAGTGAGCAGAGGCGGCGGGCTTGAGAACGGCGCGGCCGGCGGATTCGACGAAGGAGCCACAGTGCAAAGTTATAGTATTTCCTCAGCAACCAGCACGGATCAGCTCCAGGCATGACGAAGCAGATATCGTCCTCTTTTGGAAGGCCAAACAAAGTAGTTTCGCTTTCACAACGAATCACACAGCACCTTCACGACATGGCGGCGGCAACAATACTACAGCGAGAATAAAAGTTATGCCTTCTTTCTTTGCATGAACATTTGGGCGGCGTTATGCAAATCTTCCCACATAGTGACGTAGATATGTGGGGGCATGTTAGAACGAGCCGTTTTAGGTAGGTGTGGCTGACTCTTAAATTTTATAAAGAATATCTCTTTGGATTTGAGACTTTAGTCTTTGCAACTTTACAGATCTTCTTTATGCACCAAGAGCTTGTAACACTCCAAAGAGAAAGGAAAAATTGAAATCGCATCATATGACCCCTTTAAAAAAAAATACAAATATGAAAAGAATAGCCTTTTTGAAGCCCAAAGTGGGCGGAGCGGGCCGTCGCCATCTTGGCCATCTTGAAGCTAAAGGTTTTTGGGTTAAGGTTCATAATGTAGAACAGTTTTAATGTGTATGTGTATTAATCTGTATGTGCATAGGTAGCTTGCAAACAAGGAATACAGCTGTTAAGCTAATAGTCACATTTAGCTGAGTAAGATCATGATTGAGAAACTGCTGGAAATGCTGCTATGGGGTATTCTGTTTATTATTTTAGGATTTTTTAGTTTGCCCCAGTGAAGCATTTCTATTAATATAACTGATTAAGTAGTCAAACTCATTCCATATCAGCAGAATAGTGTGGTACAGAAAGTCTATGTCCATAGAACAGGTTCTGAATTAATTATGTAACATGGTTCCTGACAAAACACATACCGTTACATATGTCACTTTTCGGCGTAAACCTAGGCTCTCTCTCACCCCCGTTGTACCTGCACTCACTCACATCGTTAACACATCCCTACACACTGGTGTTTTCCCCTCAACATTTAAACAGGCTCGTATAACCCCACTTCTTAAGAAACCCACTCTTAACCCAACTCTTTTCGTGAACTGCGTTAGGCTAACCGAGACTTGTCATTTGCACTTATATATTGTTGCTCTTTTGTTAGTTTTGACTGCTTTTATTGTCCTCATTTGTAAGTCGCTTTGGATAAAAGCGTCTGCTAAATGACTAAATGTAAATGCAATGTTACTGATTCCTAATGGTCAAAAGCAATAGCAAAAGTAATAAGTCAATATTATTAAATTGCAGACAAAGATTTTGAATAGCTAGGTTGGCTTGTACACTATATTGCCAAAAATATTGGGACATTTAACCTTGCCTTATACACAGAGGCATTGTTGTGTTAGAATAGAAAAGGGCCCCGTTCAAACTATTGGTATAAAATTAGAAGCACACAATTCCCAAGAATAGCATTATATGCTTAAACATTAAGATTTGTACTCGTGCAAATTACTAAAGTAGTCAAACCTGTTCATTAGAAGGGGGTGTCCCAATACTTTGGGCAGTATAGTGTATGTTTGGTGCGGTAGGGGGCCCAACCTCATATTCTTTCATAGGGCCCAAAATTGCTAGAGAATTTTACTTGCCCGACCGGACAACTAATCTGATTAAAACATATAATTAGGGAAGCACCGAAATTTCGGCGAGAATGATTCTGGTTTTATTACATTGGTATAAACGGCAACTGATAATGGATAAACAACAGTAACAACAAGGTCACGCCACTTGAAGCTCACACAGCCTATCTGTGAGAGAATCTCGTGGAGAAATTAAAACAACTGAACACAACTGCACACAGAAGAAACATAAAAATGTCACTTGGATCTTATATTTATTAAAAAAAAAGTGACGTGACGTGTGGCCAAGTATGGTGACCCATACTCGGAATTAGTGCTCTGCATTTACCCATCCAAAGTGCACACACACAGCAGTGAACACACACAAACCGTGAACACACACCCAGAGCAGTGTGGTATTACAGCCTAGTTAAGCAATGACACGACCAAGAGAGTGAAGTTTTCCCTGAAAACCACGATTGCAATTTTATACAAGAGTTAAAACGAGTAGTTAATATACATTTTAGTTCAATATTTGAATTTAGGATATACTGTCAACGTTGACTGTTTTTGCTCGATTTGGTTAATGAAAATAGTTCCAAACAAAGATCATAGCAGAACAGTCGCGCATCTCTGAACAACACACAGAGGTGTTTCGTTTCTGAATGATTTGTGTTTTTGAATGTTGAACCATTTGAGTCAATGATCCAGTGGCCATTCATAAAGACAGGCGCTTGCTTCATTCTTGAATGAATCAACCGTCTGAACGAATCGTTTGAAGGCATGCTTCAATGACTCATTAAGACAGTCCCTTGCTGCCACCTACTGGCGGTTTACTTTCATAGTAGCTTATCTTTGCATTTTTTCCAACATTTCAAATTTGTATATCTAAAAAAAGAACTATTTTTAAACACCAAGCTCACAACATTGTTTATGCTGTTATAGTGTTGCAGTCTAAATGCATTCTTGCTATATTTCAGCTACATTGAACTGTCTGTGTAAATGCATCTGAATGCCACTCCAGTCACTTCTGTTTCTTCTGCAGTGGAAAGATCGTTTTTGTTCATACTGATTTAATTTGATTGGTAACAGCCCTATATTGCCTTTTTATATCAAGTGAAATTATTAACAAAATGTAAGGCTTTGATTTGGAAAGAATTGGTTAAGAATGGGAAAAATGCCCTTTAAATAGGTCAAAAATGACCTGGAAATCTATTTAAATACAATTTTGTATGCAGTATTAAGTCATACAAAACGTAATTTCCCAACAACAAAATTGTGACCAGTGAAAATGCTGAGTGGCAATCTTTTTGGTAAAAAAACCCCCACAGAAAAACATGTACAATACTTCTCCCTAGTGGTCACGATGAACCGCAGCAGATTCATAGGAGGCCTACATAAGTAGATTGGAAGAGGAATTTCGCTAGACGAGGCCGGAAGCTGCTGATGTAAAAAAGGGCAGCGTAGAGAGACGTAAGGTAGTACCCACCTGAGAGAAAGACCGAAAGACAGTATGCACGTTACACACGCTTGTATGTGAATATTTAAAAACAACTACTAAACTACACCCTTCTGGTGGAAAATTCCACTGACGGTCATTCTTTTTATAATTCTAATGCGACATATTAATTTCTTCAAGCAACAAATAGATATCAAACAATTATCTTTGTAAATGTTTTGAAAATTCTTTAAGCATTTAGCCTTTATCAAATCCCTATGATTTTCTTTCAGTATGCGCATTCAGTATTTTGGTGCAAATTTAAAAAGTTTTACACGATAAAATTGTGATTTTTTTAACAGTCATCTGAATGGTGGATGCTCATGTCCAAACAGAGACATATAAATGAAAAACTAAATTTAAAGAGGCCTTTATGACACACTTCAGGGTAGTTTCAAATAAAGGGCTTGAGACATAGAAGGGGTCCTGCCATTGAGATGACTGGGAATGCATTGGATAGATCTCTACATGTACTATCTTGGTCTTGGTCCAGACAAACAGTCATTGATCCAGAAGCTGACATGTTGGACTGAGTACTGCTTTGAAAGAATCACAGTGTTTGCCTTACCAATGCATTACAGATGTCACTGCATATAAACTACTAGGGCTGAAAAACTAAATTCGAATTTTATACTTAAATATTAGCAAAATTCGAATTATATTCGAATTTAAAATGCATAATTTCAGTTAGGGTGAAGAAAAGCTTTTGGCTTCTTTTCTGAGGCCGCAAGAGAGCACATCGAGCAAAATATTACTAGTGCACATTTATTCAAAGCATAAGATAACATGACTATCTGTGAAAAAAGTGCATAATGTTTAAAATAGTTTATAAACCAATTATAATTAATTAAGTTGCTTAAACAACTATAAACAAAACAGCATCATGTATGCATAGTTTAATACAAAGGGCGGAAAGCCAATCACACGGAGTACATTTTTCATTTAAAAACATGAGATGCAGTGGGATGGGGACAAAACCCACCATAAAGTTTCGATATATGTTTTTTTCAAAGTTAAACTTGTTTTAATTTTACATGGCTTTCTAAACACGTGGCTCCTTTGTGTGAGATGCGAGTGTAACGGTGATAGATGTCCCTCTAGAAAATGCACGAAATATGCTTTCTGTGTGAACGGCTTGGTTTCAGTTTTGATGTAAACAAGATCTTCTCCGCATTGATGTTCGCTTTTCTGCAATATTTTTTAATGAACAATGCAGCAGCGCCGCATCTAGTGGCTTCAACTGGATAGGCTAACAAAAACATTATAATGCAACGACACTTACATTGTCATCGTATCTCGTGCGCCACTGATAAGGCTGCCTGACGCACAACTAAAATGCAACGTTTTTGCATTCGAATGTGGATTTTTATTTTAAATTCGACGAATATTCGAAATTCTATTTTTTTTGACAGCCCTATAAACTACAGCAGTACAGCAAATACTTCATTTATGGGTTTGAATGTGTGTGTACCCCCTACCCTCTCCTTGTAGTTGCATGGGGTCTAGCAGCTCCATCATATAGTCAGTGTCAACCTGAAGTGTAGCTACATCACTACGCAGCAACACCCATGTCAGGCATGGCAGGAAGTCATCTGCCCCGAAGACCGTACCTAACATGAAACATAAATCTACACCTTAATGACGGAGGTTTTTAGATGTTTTAAGTGCTTAAAAATGGCTCTGTGTGTAAATGTTCGGAATTGTTGGTTATTCTGTACAGGACAAATCAAAATGATTAGAGCACCAGTATTTCCACCAGCTAAAATGGTTTTAAGTCAGTAAAGTCAGCATCTTTTGCTGTAGTGTGTCAGTAGGAAACACAGAGATCTGATCTGATCATCATCCGGTCTGTCTGGAATGACATGAAGAAACAGAACAAATTGAGACAGACTCAATCCAGAAGAACTGTGGCAACGTCTCCAAGATGCTTCAAGAAACCTACCTGCAAAGCTACTGAAAAACTATGAGCAAGTGCACCGAGGGCAAAAGCTGCTTTAAACGCAAATGATGTCATGCCAAATGTTGATTTATTTTTAGTTATAATGCAACGACACTTACATTGTCATCGCATCTCGTGCGCCACTGATAAGGCTGCCTGACGCACAACTAAAAAATACGTTTTTGCATTCGAATGTGGATTTTTATTTTAAATTCGACGAATATTGGAAATTCTATTTATTTTAGTTAATAGAAGTTAATTGATAAAGAAAATCTATTTATGACAGCATCCTCATTTTACAGCATTTTTACACACGTGGCTAAAACTTTTAACAGTACTGTATCTTTGCAGGTAGGTTTCTTGAAGCATCTTGGAGACGTTGCCACAGTTCTTCTGGATTGAGTCTGTTTCAGTTTGTTCTGTTTCTTCATGTCATTCCAAACAGACGGATGATGATCAGATCAGATCTCTGTGTGGAGCACTGGCTGCTGTCAGACAAAAATCTCACTGGATTATTACAATTAAATGTAAACTGATATTTCCTACTGACACACTACAGCAAAAGATAGAAATAACTGACTTAAAACCATTTTTAGCTGTTTTTTTAAAATACTAGTGTTCTAAAAATGTTGGACACTGTATAGAAATGCGAGTATATAAACAGAGAACATACAAGGTCAACGTTCAAAGGAAGTGGAATTTCTCACAGTACTACTTCACTCACCAGGCTTGGCATTAGTATTCATACTATGGTAGATATTCTTGCAGACTTTGAGTAGGGTGTCAACTTTTTTACTGGGCGAATAGGCCTCATGCATTGTGGTCCAGCGTTGCTGGATCTTTTCCATCATGCTGGAATCAGGTACCCCGGCCCCTGCTGCGCCCTCCAGCTCCTCCAGGCTACGGTTCTCCAGGGTGCTCTTGTTGGCCTCTAAACGCTGCAGAGTGCCATCATCCCTGCGTGCTGTCTTTAGATATACGTAAAGGTGAGAGTAAACTGGCTTCAGAGCTACTTTATGTAAGGCAAGCTCCAGCATAGCATCTAAGGGCAGAGAGAAAAACAGATTTGTGAATAAATTTGGGTTTAGTAGAGGCAAATAAAAGAATTGTTACTGTATGGAATTCTTGCTAGAAAGTTCTGTGATATGAACTCTGTCATCATGACCAAACATGTTTTCGATTGTTAACCACATAGCATTAGCTTTAGTTTGTTCTTTAAGGACACACTCAGTTTGCAGCTTTTTTTTTTGTAATTCCAGACACATGCAAATATGAAAAAAACAGACACAGCTGTGAAATGTGTAATGCATTATGAATTGTGTTCTGATACAGTACATTTTGTAACACAGCAACATGAACCATGAATAGCTGAATTCAATGTGTTCACTTACTTGTTAATTAAACTGTTTGGCTCTATTAATTTCCATTCAATTTCCCAGCACTTTCCTTCAAAATAACTAATATATTAACAAAACTCACACTTTATTTAAAGGTCCAATTCTCACCATTAACAAACCATTAACTATGACTTAACTATGAGGGAACGCCTCGATGTGACCTGTGTCTGAATCATACATTCAAAACAACAACAACACGTTGGCCGGCGACAGCCTATGACGTCACTACCGGTACGACCACAATACAAAGAGGCGCCGGGAGAACACGTCATCCGCTTCTTCATCTGAAGCTTGCGTCCGAAGCATGGCAAGGAAACTAGAGGACGCAGTGTCTCGTTCCCTACTCAGGGAACCATGGTTACATATGTAACCTGAGATGTTCCCTTTCAAGGGAACTTCGAACGGCGTCCTCTAGGGGTCGCTATGGGGAATGATATACCCACGCCACCATGCTGAGGGGAGTGCATGCCAAAACTTCAATAAACTTCTAATTTGCTGTTTATTAATAGTTAACAAGGCAGTTGTTAAGTTTAGGTATTGGGTAGGATTAGGGCTGTAGAATATGGTCATGCAGAATATGTGCTTTATACGTACTAATAAACAGCCAATATGTTAATAACAGGCATGTTAAAAAAGCAACTAGTTAATAGTGAGAATTGGTTCCTGTACTAGAGTGTTGCCACTTTTATTTTTAAGTGTGACCAGAAAAAGACCATGTTCACTGTGTAGGTCTGCCTATTATGGAGATCAGAGATTCAACTGTAATTCAATTGTATTTGTTGATAAAATAATACAGATAAACTGATAGGCTGTTATTATATAATGCTATCCCCAACACATCTCCAGGTCATACCCAGCTCAAAATCCGGAGTGTCTCCAACGCTGTCTGTGATGCTTTGGATCTCTGGACAATCAAACAGAGTTCTCCTCAGAGCAGTGAGAGACGAACGCACTTCCTGCAGCATCTCTGTGCAGGTCACTCCAGGACTGACGCCGCTTGCAAGAGTTAGCACAACAAATCCCCTGACAGTCTCTGCAAAAGCCCCACCCTTCCGTTCCGCCATCTCCTGAACACGTTTACTCAGTCTCCGCTGTGGCGACACAAGTCCACCTAGAGCCTGACCCACGGCAGAGAGGCGGTTCTTCATCTTATCTGCCAGCTGGAAGCGGGGCGAAGGCAGGGATGGGCTTAAAGCTGGTTCAGACTCCTCCTCTATACTGCTGATTGACAGCGAGTCCAGCTCTAAGCCGGGCGGTTGAAGCAGAGAGGAAGGAAGTGATGAGTTCAGCCATATCTTGTCTTCTATCCACGACACACGGTGTGGTGACTGAGGGAGAGGGCTTTGAATGGAGTCAACACTTGCTCTTTTTAGGGGGTCTTCCTTGCTGGCGCCACTCGCCCTTCGAAGCACAACTCCACCTGGGGTAGCTGAAGAGTCTGGATTCTTCTCAAATGATCCTTTGAGAAGTAACAAAGACATTAAGCTACATAACACTACCTAACTGAGATCTGCCTTTTTATCAACAGATCATAAACATTACATGTTGGGTACTTGAAACCAATGTTGTTATTCTTAACTAAAATTATTTAAAATATAAATATTTAATGAAAAACTTAAGGCAAGACACCACAGGTGAATAGGGTAAAGACAACAACAACAACAACAAACTAATAGATATTAGATAGATAATAGAAATCAGAAAATACTCCCAATATGTAAGAGATTTTTGGGTCAGTGCAGGAGAAAAATAGCATTCTGAGAAAACAGGCTTTAAAGATATGCACTGTAATTGAAATCTACAGGCGCTAATAGATAAAGTGCTATAAAAACACTTTAAAGTGTTTTAAAATGTTTTTTCCCCATTAGTCTGAAAAAAGAACTTAATGAAAAGCCAAAAAGACATTAATTTCTACAGTGACAGATGCTCAAGTTTTTTCAAAAACAGATTCAAAAATCTGTTGTTGTCTGTAGTGTCTCACATTAAATTTCAAAACCTTAAATGATAATTAGAAATGTGCCTTAGAAACAAACTTAAATAAAATAAGTTGAAGTTGAAGTGCTAAAATTACCAAAACAAAAATTGAAATAAATTAAAGCTAAATAGAAGTATTTAAACTAAAAATACAAAACTAACAAAAATGACAAAGGCACATGAAAAGATTAGAAAACTGAAAGTATAGAAGTAAAAAGATAGCTGACAGAAATAAAAGACAGCCACTACCTCTGTCATGGTCAAAGCTGCTAGAGCTGTCATCAGATAGTGTAGATGACCTCTGTTTGAGTCCTCTTCCTGCCCATGCTCTCGTGGTACTTAACCGCTTGTCTCGCCTCAAGTTCATTGGAAGATTGACTGTGCTGGCTGAAGAATGAGTAAGCCAATCATCACCATGCTCTTGAAGGTACAAGGGATTGATGAAGCACATGGCACCACTGGCAGCTGTAACCTACCAACAAGTAGAAATCATTTCAAGGTCTTGCCTCCCACACATAGAATATAGTCGCAAAGATTAAAAAGAATAGATTCCTAATGGATACATTAGTTACGGTAGTACATTTCAATGTCCTTGTTTACTGCTACACAGGTTTGGGGAATTTCTTACATTAAAGCACCGTAAATTAATGTTTGGACATTGCACTCAAAAGTCCAATAAGTTCAACAAGTAATAGTAGACCACATCCGAAAAAAGTTGTTTGTCTACCAACTGATTTGGCGTATTACAATCCTTTTGATAACTTATTATCAGTAGCTATGTTTCCATCCACCTATTTTTATGCGCATTTTGGGATATTGCGTAAAAAAAAACGTTGGATGGAAACGGCAAGATGGGCATAAATTCTAAAAATGTGCATTAAAACTTCTGCACTCAACTAAGTAGAATACATTTCTTATCCGGTTAGAAAACATGCACATAAACTTCCTTAATGCGCATCAAAAAAGACATATGACTTGTGATGGGACAGCATAACTGGACCAACCAAAGGACCGATCTCCTTGCACAGCATCTGAAATGCTAGTTTTGTCGTTCTAAAATGCTTGAGCAAAGTCTTGCCAAAGTGCTTCGTTATAATTAACTCCCAGAACTGCTTTCCCAAACAGCAGACTCCGAAAATAAGATAACATGACCGTGTTTCGTTCTACGTGCTCTGAAGCTCGTAATTTATTGTATACTAGGATTATTATATACAGTGCCTTCTCCTACTGCAGCAAATAAAATGTTTCTTTGTGATATTTAGCACAAGTTAATCAATTGGATGGAAACGGCAAGATGGGCATAAATTCTAAAAATGTGCATAAAAACTTCTGCACTCAACTAAGTAGAATACATTTCTTATCCGGTTAGAAAACATGCACATAAACTTCCTTAATGCGCATCAAAAAAGACATATGACTTGTGATGGGACAGCATAACTGGACCAACCAATGGACCGATCTCCTTGCACAGCATCTGAAATGCTAGTTTTGTCGTTCTAAAATGCTTGAGCAAAGTCTTGCCAAAGTGCTTCGTTATAATTAACACCCAGAACTGCTTTCCCAAACAGCAGACTCCGAAAATAAGATAACATGACCGTGTTTCGTTCTACGTGCTCTGAAGCTCGTAATTTATTGTATACTAGGATTATTATATACAGTGCCTTCTCCTACTGCAGCAAATAAAATGTTTCTTTGTGATATTTAGCACAAGTTAATCAGGAAGTGACAATTTTGTTCTTCAACTCACTGGATGGAAACGGTGCTTTATTCGCAAATGTGTTATGCGATATTCCAATTTTGCACATAAGTTTAATTTGTAACTTTGGATGGAAACATAGCTAGTGTCTAGATGATACACATTAAAATTCACGTGAACCAGACAGTCTAAGATATGTAAATATTTGGTTACACTTTATTTTTTGGTTACATTTTATTTTTACACTGCTTGTTGCAGTGTAAACACAAATAAGGACCAAATAATATTAATTGATAACATGTACTTACTTTAAAGGGGTGGCTGATTGCGATTTCACTTTTTTAACGTTAGTTAGTGTGTAATGTTGCTGTTTGAGCATAAACAATATCTGTAAAGTTACGAAGCTGAAAGTTCAATGCAAACGGAGATATCGTCTTTTAAAACTCTGTCAGTTTAATGCCTACAAAAACGACTTAAACAAATTACTTCCCGGGTTCGTAACAAACCCTGATAAACCCCGCCCTCGGGAAGCGTTATACATGGACACGCGTGCGGTTGCCGTACTGTATTAAAGCTTTAATCAGGATAAAACCGTATATTGAAAGCTAACATAAGCAGTAGCATTTACAAATAACAGCATATCTAAAAGTATGAGACGATAACAAACAGGGACGTTTAGAGGCGGTTTAGCCAATCACAACACACTGGGCTAGCTAACCAATCAGAGCCCATCGCCTATTTCTGAGGGCGGGGCTTCATAAAAGCAGGAAATGAACATCCCGTTTCTCAGAGAAGGGACAGAACGGTGTGGAATAAAGCTAAATTATGTGAAAAATAATGCGAGTTTTTTTTTAAAACGAAGCATTAACATGTTAGACTGCACCCCATAAACACAATCAAGCCTAGAAAAAAAAAAAACAGTGAACCACCCCTTTAAGGTATAGTTTCTACTATAGAAAGTAGATGTAACATGAAAGACGAACACTTTAAGATAAAGTGATACCAATTATTTTTCTCAAATGATTAGTAATTTTCTCTAAAACAAGTTCAATACTTAAAACAAAACATGGGCAAGAACCAGTATCTTTATAGGTACAGTACCTATGTTTTATGACATACCCCAATTAAAAATTCTGAAATCAGAATTACTAAGCACAATTACTTCTGAATGATGCTGTTACATATACCATACTGAACAAATATTATAAAACTGAAAACATCAGAGAAGTAAAGTAAAGTAAAGTAAAGGTCACTGAGTCAGAGGGTTTGTATCACCTGTATAGTGCACATGATTGTTTCTGGCGTTTCTGCTATATCTTGTGTTTCTGGAGTCATACTGCCAATCAGCGGATCTGAAGAGGGGCACAGCCAGGTCTCTAAAGGTCAAACACACAAATCACTGGAATCCAGAGAGTCCGATTTGCATAACAGCACATTTATAGTGTAGTACAGAGGATAGTAAATGACAGGGCAAGTACTAACTTGGACCAAGCAGAGGAACAAGATGATCTGATAGACTGTTAAGGGTGTAAACCCATGAGGGAACCAATAAACAGACAGGCAAAACATCCCTGAAAGAAAATTAAGTGTAGCAGAAGTCAGATAATACAAAGAAACACATTATTTATAGCATTATTTATATCGTAAGTTCAAAGTAACTTCAAAAGTAACTATTTTTAATAAAGCAAAAACATAAATATTATTTAACACCACTGATCCAACCTTAATACCAACAAACAAACTTTTAATCAGGTTTAATAAGGTTCAAATATTTCTTTAATGTAACAATTACAGGCTGACCCTTAAAAGTTTAATCTTATGCCAAATTAAAATTTTAAAACAAACAGATTATTGATTATTTGAGATTGTTTGTCCGACATGGTAACCAAAAATTTGTAACGTCTAAAATTACTGGTTTTATTCAAGTCAAAAATACTATTTAACATCACTGAACCAACCTACATACATGAATTTATACCAACAAAACACATTTTTATGGGTGGAATCATTGCAAGTTACCAGTTGTTGTTTTTTTACAGTGCATAGAAGATTTAATATAATTTACTATCCAACACGGGTGCACAGAGTTTCCTGTGATAACATCCGGTTACCAAGCAAAACAGACGTGCTTCCTTATCAATAGCTGCTAGATAAAAATAACTCAGCCTCACCTGCTCACGGTGTAGAAGTGCAGCAGTTGAAAGAGATCAGGGAAAGCCAGGTGTGATGCCGTCAAGCGAAGAGCTATGAAAGAAAAACAAAAAGACAAGAGAACTAACTGAGTCAGACTAGCACTATGAGTAATAGAGAGAAACTGGGCAGACTAGTCATGAACTTCAAAAGTACACAGATGTAATGAGGAAATAGGAAGACCGTAGGGTTCAGGATGTGAATTTTATCAGCATGCACAAATAGAGAACAAACTACTGTGCAGAAGAGTTTACTGAACTTTGCACAAACGTCTCATGTAGCCTACATTGCACAAACTATTCCCACACGGTCCTTCCCATGTCAGCTTGTAACAGGAAATGTAGAAAACTTGCATGCTTTAGAATTGCATTATGACTGACTATGCCTGTCAGCTCATTCATTTCCTCGCAAAAAAACAAAACCAAAAAAATGCTCCGAGGTTGCTCTTTCATATGTCAGGAAACTTATACATGTCTCATACAAATCTAAATAAATAAACAAACTTAAAAAGGACAAAAAAAACAACAACAACTGGACAGTAATATTATGCAGCTATAAAATGTGGACAGCATAGCTCAGATAATTTGATCATGGAGGAGTTGACAACGTCATGAGAACATGTTGATCATGACAAATGCTTGAGGTCATGTTAAATTCTGACTTGTGGTTGCAAACTTGGGTATAGCATATCTGAGCAGCAATCAAAGATGAAAAGGCTTTTTGGTACCTGTTCCACTGCTTAAGATAGGGAATTCTTTGACCGGCTCCCCTTCTGGCGTTTCTGCTATATCTTGTGTTTCTGGAGTCATACTGCCAATCAGCGGATCTGAAGAGGGGCACAGCCAGGTCTCTAAAGGTCAAACACACAAATCACTGGAATCCAGAGAGTCCGATTTGCATAACAGCACATTTATAGTGTAGTACAGAGGATAGTAAATGACAGGGCAAGTACTAACTTGGACCAAGCAGAGGAACAAGATGATCTGATAGACTGTTAAGGGTGTAAACCCATGAGGGAACCAATAAACAGACAGGCAAAACATCCCTGAAAGAAAATTAAGTGTAGCAGAAGTCAGATAATACAAAGAAACACATTATTTATAGCATTATTTATATCGTAAGTTCAAAGTAACTTCAAAAGTAACTATTTTTAATAAAGCAAAAACATAAATATTATTTAACACCACTGATCCAACCTTAATACCAACAAACAAACTTTTAATCAGGTTTAATAAGGTTCAAATATTTCTTTAATGTTAAACAATTACAGGCTGCCCCTTAAAAATGTTATCTTATGCCCAATTAAAATGTTAAAACAAACAGATTATTGATTATTTGAGATTGTTTGTCCGACATGGTAACCAAAAATTTGTAACGTCTAAAATTACTGGTTTTATTCAAGTCAAAAATACTATTTAACATCACTGAACCAACCTACATACATGAATTTATACCAACAAAACACATTTTTATGGGTGGAATCATTGCAAGTTACCAGTTGTTGTTTTTTTACAGTGCATAGAAGATTTAATATAATTTACTATCCAACACGGGTGCACAGAGTTTCCTGTGATAACATCCGGTTACCAAGCAAAACAGACGTGCTTCCTTATCAATAGCTGCTAGATAAAAATAACTCAGCCTCACCTGCTCACGGTGTAGAAGTGCAGCAGTTGAAAGAGATCAGGGAAAGCCAGGTGTGATGCCGTCAAGCGAAGAGCTATGAAAGAAAAACAAAAAGACAAGAGAACTAACTGAGTCAGACTAGCACTATGAGTAATAGAGAGAAACTGGGCAGACTAGTCATGAACTTCAAAAGTACACAGATGTAATGAGGAAATAGGAAGACCGTAGGGTTCAGGATGTGAATTTTATCAGCATGCACAAATAGAGAACAAACTACTGTGCAGAAGAGTTTACTGAACTTTGCACAAACGTCTCATGTAGCCTACATTGCACAAACTATTCCCACACGGTCCTTCCCATGTCAGCTTGTACAGGAAATGTAGAAAACTTGCATGCTTTAGAATTGCATTATGACTGACTATGCCTGTCAGCTCATTCATTTCCTCGCAAAAAAACAAAACCAAAAAAATGCTCCGAGGTTGCTCTTTCATATGTCAGGAAACTTATACATGTCTCATACAAATCTAAATAAATAAACAAACTTAAAAAGGACAAAAAAAACAACAACAACTGGACAGTAATATTATGCAGCTATAAAATGTGGACAGCATAGCTCAGATAATTTGATCATGGAGGAGTTGACAACGTCATGAGAACATGTTGATCATGACAAATGCTTGAGGTCATGTTAAATTCTGACTTGTGGTTGCAAACTTGGGTATAGCATATCTGAGCAGCAATCAAAGATGAAAAGGCTTTTTGGTACCTGTTCCACTGCTTAAGATAGGGAATTCTTTGACCGGCTCCCCTCTGTCCCCCACAGACACACACAGAAGCTGGTCTTGAGACGAAGAGTCTTGGACCACCAGGAAACTCTGTAAATGAACAGCTATTTAACAGCCATTTCGCTGTTATGCTTCAAGCATTGAGGATCAAAATATCATGGAGAATAATGCATCACTGTCATATTTCTATAAACTAATTAGATGACCACTCATTTGAATAAGCAATACAACAACCACTGAATTCAAGGAAATGCTCACTTTGTGGGTAAGCACTCTTACAAGAGGAAGTCAGTGCACACTAAAGTTTGGTACCAAAAAAAATCTAAATATAGATGACAGTGAAAACTACTTTAGTTATTAGCATTTATTTAGTTGATTAAAACCCACCATGGATATGCTTCTAACATATACACAGCAGCTACCTTTCATTCCAATTCAAAATATAAAAATAACGTTTCAAGAACTTTGAGGATTTTGCTCCTTTACAATGACCACAAAGGAAGTGAAATGAGACCTCTGATAATTGACATCACTCACTAGTTATATATAGTGTAAATATGAAAGTATATTTCATGGTGTTGAAATGTGGAGGGGAAAAAAACGTTACACACACACACACACACACACACACATAGACTTTCACCATATGATATCACAATAATCCAAGTAATTGACATGACTCCAGTCCATCAATTCATGTTGCGTGACATGAAAAGCTGCATGTTTGAAATAAACACAGATCCATCAAGATATTTTAACTTCTTACCATTGCTTCCTATTTGTAATATTGCTTTCTACAGTGAAAAAGTCATCTCATCAAGCACCATTTACACACAAAAAACATATGTTGGTACAGCAGATTTTGATGGGAGAAGATAACAGGGGATGGACTGTAGGAAGCATATTATGGAGTCGTATTTTGGTCAGTAGCAATGTTTTAACGTTAAAATGCCTTTAAGGACAATTGGTTTCTTATGAATATGCAGCTTTTTACTTCACAACATTGTAACTAATGGACTGTATAACATTAACATGTTTTTATCTACATCTTGGATGGCCTGAGGGTTAGTAAATATTCAGAAAATGTTTTATTTCATAGACTTTCACCATATGATATCACAATAATCCAAGTAATCGACATGACTCCAGTCCATCAATTCATGTTGCGTGACATGAAAAGCTGCATGTTTGAAATAAACACAGATCCATCAAGATATTTTAACTTCTTACCATTGCTTCCTATTTGTAATATTGCTTTCTACAGTGAAAAAGTCATCTCATCAAGCACCATTTACACACAAAAAACATATGTTGGTACAGCAGATTTTGATGGGAGAAGATAACAGGGGATGGACTGTAGGAAGCATATTATGGAGTCGTATTTTGGTCAGTAGCAACGTTTTAACGTTAAAATGCCTTTAAGGACAATTGGTTTCTTATGAATATGCAGCTTTTTACTTCACAACATTGTAACTAATGGACTGTATAACATTAACATGTTTTTATCTACATCTTGGATGGCCTGAGGGTTAGTAAATATTCAGAAAATGTTTTATTTCAGGTGAACAATTCCATCAGTGATTTCAATAACATTATTCAATCCCTGATGAAAAAAAAGAAGTGCAATTATAATAAAACTGCATGCGTCTTCCGAAAGAACATGGCTTGGCAACGATCCGCTGCACGGAAGAATGTGGTTTGAGGCACCCGTGTACAAATATAGGACCTCTTATATGAAACACGAAAGTAAGCTACTTTCTGTGATATGTGCAAGACTTCCGATTCATTAGCCGCTATAAATAATTAACTAGAAGTGCAGTAAATGGTAAAACTATATGTGCTACAGACCAGTGCGTTTGTGAAAACTAATAAACTAAAACAAGAAATACCAGTTTTTTTATTTTTTTTAAAGAACTGGAAGCGGATGGCACTGAAGCCTCAACATTAAAAAGGTACAAATGGCTCTCATATGTTAATGGACATTGATGAACAAATGGGATAAAATGACAAAAGAACGGAAAAGATGGATACCTAAAAACCATGCCATCCGAGCAGGTAAGTGACATTTGTTCGTTGTAACACTTTCAGCCCAGTGTTACCTCCTGTGCACGCCGGATACTACACGCAAGGGCGAATTACGCTGCATTCAGGAAGTATTCAGACCCCCTTCACTTTTGTTATGTTGCAGCCTGATACTACAATAGTTTAAATTCTTTGGTTTCTTATTAAATCTACCCTCTGTACCTCATAAAGTGAAAATAGAATTTTAGAAATATCTGTAAAATTTATTAAAAAGAAAAACTGGAAAAAAAAATTCACATTTACATAAGTATTCAGACCCTTGATTCAGTACCTGGTTGAAAACACCTTTGGCAGCAATTACAGCCTTGAGTAATGGCCTAGGGTATGACGCAACAAGCTCTGCACACCTGTATTGGGGGATTTTCTGCATTATTCTTTGCAATTCCTCTCAAGCTTGGGCAGGTTGGATGGGTGCCGTCGGTGGACAGCCATTTCCAGGTCTCTCCAGAGATGTTCGATAGGGTTCAAGTCAGGGCTCTGGCTGGGCCACTCACAGAGTTATCCCTAAGCCACTCCTGTGTTGCCTTGGCTGTGCATTTAGGGTTATTGTCCTGTTGGAAGGTGAACCGTCGGCCCAGTCTAAGGTCCTGAGCACTGTGGAACAGGTGTTCATTGAGGATATCTCTGAACTTTGCTACATTCAGCTTTCCCCTCAACCCTGACCAGTCTCCTAGTCCCTGCCGCTGAAAAACACCCCCACAGCTGCTACCAGCACACTTTACTTTTGGGATGGTACTCTGCAGGCAATGAGCAGAGCTGGTTTCCTTCAAACATGATGCTTAGAATTGAGGTTCATCAGACCAGATAATCTTGTTTCTCGGAGTCTGAGGGTCCTTTAGGTGCGGTTTTGCAAATTCCAAGTGTGTTGCCATACGTCTTCACCGAGGAGACGATTGAGCCCAGACCAGTGAAGTGTTACAGTGATGTTTGTCCTTCTGTATGTTTCTTCCATCTGCATATATGATCATGGAGCTCAACTAGAGTGACCATCAGGCTCTTGGTCACCAGTCTAGACAAGGCCCTTCTCTATAAACTGCTCCGTTTGGCTGGCTGAACTTCTTCTACTTGAGAATTATGGAAGCCACTTTGCTCTTGAGAACCTTCAATGCAACAGAATTTTTTGAAGCCTTCCCCAGATCTGTGCCTCAATACAATCCTTTGACCTCATGGCTTGGTTTGCACTCTGATATGCATTGGCAGCTGTGAGGCCTTTCATAGAGTTTATAGAGGCCTTTTATTTGTGCCTTTCCAAATCATGTCCAATCAATTTAATTTACCACAGGTTGACTCCAATCAAGGTGTAGAAATATCTCAGCAATGATCAAGAGAAATGGGAGGCACCTGAGCTAAATTTCAAGTGTTGTTGCAAAGAGTCTGAATACTTATGTAAATAAGTATTTTAGTTTTTAAGTATTTATTTTAGTTTTTTCTTTTTAATAAATTTACAGACATTTCTAAAGTTCTGTTTTCACTCTGTCATTATGAGGTACGGAGTGTAGATTAATGAGAAAAAGAAAATAATTTAAACAATTGTAGTATCAGGCTGCAACATGTGAAGGGGGTCTGAATACTTTCTGAATGCACTGTATGTGTCCAGTTTCCATCAAAGTCCACCCCAACAGCTTTAAAATAGCCTATATCATTATTACAGGTTTATCAAAGCTTTAGCTTTATATTTAAGTTAGCTTAAATATAATTGTTTTTGTCACACCTCAAGGACCTGTTTTGTTGTTTCCTTCCTCATGTGTTCAGTAGACCTAGTTTTCCGTCTATGTCTGATTGTCATTTGGTTCAGGTGTGTCTTGTTAATTATCTTCATTTACCAATGTATTTAAGATGTGTTCAGTCCTGTGTTGCCTCATCCAGTCTACTATATCCCTACGTGTGTCTCCTGCCTGCTCTGTCCTGGCTTTACCCTTGTGTGGATTTATTAAAGACTGAATGTCATCTTCCTCGTGCGTTTCATGCCACCGTAGCGTGACAGTTTACAGCACAGTTATAAACAGGAAATTATGACAACCTCTACCGTAAATCAATCACTGAATAAACTTCTCCCTAACAGTGCACTAAAACTATGCTTCCACTATGCATGTAGACAAAGAAATGGCTTATGTTAAACAGGGAAATTCCCACAATATAGTTTTATAAAATAGTATCAATTAAAATGTAACAATTCTTAGGGTCCTATTTTTGTATCCACAGTAGGCATGGGTTATGCGCTACAACTACCTATGTCTATCCCCCAGCCTCAGTAAGACTAGATTTGACGGAATTTGAAAACAAAAAAGTTAAATTATTGAATTATGAGTTATATTTCAAGTTATATTTAACTAAAACTACTAAATTCTTTCATTGCTGACAACATCAAGGTTTTCGGGAATACTGCTGAAACAGTTAATTAATTAGTAAGCACTGATAAAAAGGAAGGCACCCACCCCAGCAGGTCTGCCCCACAGAGCGGCATGTGCTCCATGACTGTCCCAGGGACTTTTGGGAGCCCACGCATCCTGACACAACCGTAAACCTTTCAGCAGACTCAGGAGTTTTGTCTTATCTTTGGAGACCCCGTTGGGTACCGTGCTAGCAGCATTTTCTCTATTGATAAAAAAGTGTTTAATCATGCTATTGAAGAAAATCATTTAAAAAATGCACATGGAATAAAATGGTGATTACATTTACTGAAGATTGTATCCTTGTTCTCTCTCACCTGTTCTCACTGGTTGTGAATTCATCTTTTGATTCTTTCATCATCATTGGTCCAACAGAATAGCGATGGACCTGTTCAGGAAATCTGTTCTGTTATAAGCTCCTCCATTTTAGCTATGTTGCTGTAACCCTGTTGAAATTTAGAAATAGAGAAACAAAGGAAATGAAGAAATATCTCCAACCCCACATCCTTTCATTTGTATTTTTCGTTCACTCTTTCTCTGTCACAGTTCTTTGTTAACAGCTGTGTTTTATCAGTGGTGAAATCTAAAATCCGATTTTTATTTTTAATATGAAGGAGGAGTGATGAGCAGAAATTAGATGGCCATCATGGCCAAAAAAACAACTTGTTGAACATTGAACAAATGATCAAACATTTGGGCACACATTGCTACTCATTATTGCTATTTATCACTTTAGAATAATAATACAGTGGCTGGATCATGTATGAACGGTTAAATTAGCATGCAGTATAAACTCAAGCTAATACTTCATGATACATAAATATTACCAGTGAATAAAAAAAGTTCTGTTTCTTTTATAATTTGTCTCCGAACTGTACTTTCTGTTGGTATTAAAATAGCAACATCTCCACTTTAAAAATTAGAAATGCTAATTTGATTTTCGGAATTCTGACAATTATTACATTAATATCAAAGTACTCAAATTGCCCATCGTTATAACACAGCTTAATACTTAAAATCACTTAAAAAATGTATTAATCTAAGTTCAGCATAGCCACAATTATATCATAACTGTGATATATACAGTAAGTTGTCTGAATTTAAATGACCTTTTCTGGGACAAAACATCAAATGAACATGAAACACTTTTTTTCCACATCTGTTAGCTTTAGTTTATTTCTTGTCTCAGGTTTCTGTATTGGATTATCTTTTCAGTGTCATATGCAAAATATAATTATTTTGTCATCACCTTGAACTGTGAGTTCAGCTGTCATGAATAGGAACTGACCATTTGAGACAGCCCATCTTCTCAGTTTATTATACTCCATGTTTAATGTAATTATTTATAATAGTTTTATTCATGGCAGTGTTTTTTTGTTTTTACCTCTAACAGTTCTGACATTTCTGTAGAACATGGAAGAAGCAGGAGATTGTTCCCAAATGTAAAACCTACAGTAAACACCTCTGAACATCATAATAGGCTATGGCTACATACAGTAAACTTTACATTTATTTATTTATTTTTTACTTCTAAAGCCTATTTTGGCCCATGTCTCAAGAACAAGTCACTTGTAATAATGCAAACAGAAGTCAGAGTTGAACTCACATGTGGTGTCTTCAAAATGTCCTCCTACATGAAGAAAAGACTGAGCATCTCTGAAAGCTGCTCCAAACACCTCCACACACTGCAGGTTCACGTGTGGGGTAACTGACACTCCTCATTACGAATCTGTCGTGTACTTTGTCACGTCGCAGACAGCGAGATTCACTTTTGCTCCTGTGATATATGAAATGTTCAAGGCATCAATTTCAGTCACATTAAAGTTCAGTTTGGACTTAAGAGTGACAGTAATTGATGCTTTTTGTGTGTGCCTCACATCATAAGCGCCACCCATATTCATGGCTGTGGTAAACCTCAGTGAAAACTTGTCACAGTGATAGAAGTAGGATGTCAACATACAGCAGAAAGATTATAGCTGAACGAGTGTTACTTTCATATGTAACAGTATCACGCAGCTCAGTTCAGATCGGTTTCATTTTAGTCAAACCAACCAGCAGTTACAAAATAACCCCCCCTTTTTATGAGAACATACGTTTATGAGAACATAAGGGAAGACAGTTACCCATTGTTCCTCATTGAATTTCCTCTTACAATAAATTCCATATTGACTTTAACTAAGGTCGAACCCATAGCCATCTCTAAAAACAGTTATTAAGATTAAAAGGTTTCAATAAATGTTTGAGAACTGTAACATTTCAATGCTGTCTAATGATCACAAAGGTTGTTTAAACCACACTCTAAAAAATGCTGGGTTAAATACAACCCAGTGCTGGGTAAAATAGGGACAAACCCAGCAATTGGGTTGTTTTGACCCAGCGGTTGGGTTAAATGGTTAACCCAGCCTTCTGGGTAGTAACCCAGCCGCTGGGTCAAAACAGCCCAATTGCTGGGTTTGTCCATATTTGACCCAGCACTGGGTTGTATTTCACCCAGCATTTTTTAGAGTGCAGAGATAGTTTCATCACACTAATTATAGCATGCTAACAAGAAATGTAAGTGAGAAAAGCTAATAAGAAAGTGTTACTAATAAAGCAATAACAAAGTGCATATTACTAGTTACTGCTCAAAGCATCAGGTAAGCAAATTATAGTGTCATACTCGTGCTAAAAAGTTAAGGACCTGGCATATAAACTGAGGTTGGCCTGTGTGTGTCATGCAGTCATACACACAGTCAGTCACTAGGGGAACAGTTGTTTTATGTCATATCTGTTATTTACTATAGATATACTTTTGCATGGCTGGAATGCTGTGTTGACTAATCAGCATCCAGGACCAAACTATCCTTTAAAAAAATATATAACTATTTGAATGCATTTTGACAAAATCCCACCACATGCATACAAGGTACAAAAACTCTTGAAGGTTTTATCTTTCATTCTGGTTTCTTCACATAAGGTTGCATTGGGCTCAATCAGATATCATACTTTGTAATGCTGTAAAACACTGTTAGGCCAACTTCCTCTTACACAACTGAGCTACAGGCGTAGATATCATTCCAAACCAAAAATAAGCAACAGAGAATAAACAACAAACTATAAACATCAAAAACGTATTATATTAGTTAGCATAATGCAGAGATGGTTAATAATTCATTAAAAGAAACATTCGTTAACCCTTTTAAAAATACATTATACTAAAATCTTCAAATGATTGCACAAAGAAAAGAATCTTACTTACAAGGTCACACAAAAGATCGTAAACCATCATTAGTATTATGGTTGATCTCTTGTAAATTCTCATTATCATAATGCACAAAAAGCAATTCTCATTACAGTAGTGCAAGAATAAAGTATGTATACAGCATGATAGCATTTGTTGTACATAATTTTGTACTTTTCTCTAATTTAACGTCAAAATCACAATTATAAGAATTACAAAAATAACTCAAAAGAAAAACTTGCAGGTACATTACAGTAATGCGAATCTGGGTTTCAGAGACTTTTGTTTTAAGCAGGATATAATGAGACCCATATGATGAAGCATAAAGTGTAAGTGTAATACTTATCAACTTTAAAACATTACATTTAAAGCATTGTTATTCATAGTTGTGCTTTACAAACTTTTTTAATCAAAGCCGCCTCAAGGCCCAAGCATAGCACCATGTCCCTGCGAGAGTGTGTGCTGTCTGTCTGTCTCACTGTTCCTGTCTGAGCTCTGTACAGAGGTTTTTGTACTATTTCTATACTTATCTATATTGCTATTACAGGCAGATGAGAGACACAGTAGCTCAGAGAAACAGAAAGATGTGATCGACAATAGATTCGAGAAGGCCAGACTTGGCTTCGAGACATGGAGTGAATTACATAGACAGCCTCCTCATGCTGTGATTGGTTATTCGGTCTTGTCACTCTTTCCAGCCTCTGCCCCAGTGCTTCTGGAGCTCTGATTGGCTTCCTTGTCTTTCGTTTTGGCATCTTTGCTGTCAATTAAAGCATATTCACGCTTCACCATCTCTTCCAGCTCTGCCTGAAACAAGAGGGGTGACATCTCATGCAACAAACACGGTTCAAGTTCAAAATATATTACTGATAAATATATTAGTAATATATTAAACATATTACTGATTTAAAGGGGTCATATGATGCTTTTTTAAAGATCATTATTTTGTGTGTTACACTTTATTTGAATGTGTCCTTGTTACAGTGTAATTATATATTTAAATACTGAGTAACTACATGTACTTACTACAGCGGGTAAAATAAGTATTGAACACCTCACCCTTTTTCCCAGTAAATATATTTCTAAAGGTGCTGCCGACTTGAAATTTTCACCGGATGTCGGTAACAACACAAGTAATCCATACATAGACAGAAAATAAAACAAATAAGTTCAGAAATTAAGTTATGTGTAATAAAATGGAATATATGGTTAGGGTTAGGAATAGGGTTTGGCCTAGGGTTACTTGCATGTAACTATGCTTAAGTAATTGTTATTATAATAGTAAGTACACGTAACGTGTAACAAGGACACCTTAAAATAAAGTGTTACCAAATAAAATGTCAGATCTGTGTGTGAATATGCCTGTATTTACTTTCCAGCCCAGCAGTTCGGCGAGAGCCATGCAGCCATCATCACAGGTGCTCAGGTAAGCCACATCTCTGTGAACAATTAATAAAAATCAATACAATCTTCTCAGACCCCACTAACACCTGTAAGCATATTCACACCATTTTTAAAGTTTAGAAGACATTTTTATGTTTTTTGAACATTTTATTCACTTACGATGCATTAAATTGATTGAAAACTCTTTTAATGATAGGCGTTTTCACACTTGAGGGCCTTTCACACAATATATTATATATTTCACATAAAATTAATAAAAAATTATTGAATAATTCATTCTGTGTTAACTAAGTTTAGCATCCTGTTTTATACAATAAATAGTAAGTCATGGGGACACAAATGGCACAATTTTGAGAGAATGACCCATATATTATACCTACGTAAAATCAGTCTCATGTCAGGATGAGTTTGAATAGTTTTGGTGTTCTTTTTTGGTCAGAAATTAATAATGCCTGTGAATAGGCCTAAAGAAACCAAACTGTTTAACATGACAATACTTGGAGGCCTCACCTGTAGGCTTTGTCTGAGTCAAAATCCATTCCGCCTCCAAAACCAAATAACCCCATGCCAAATTCTGACTGTTTGAGGAAGAAACAATGCAAAAATATAACTGTAAAAATTACTTTGTTTTATTAAAATGTTTATAATAATTATACATTTATTCAGCTACAGACCTGTCCGGTTTTCTCCATATTGATGAGCAGTCTAGGACAGCTGTTTGACACTCTGCAGATGAG